TGGGTAAAATTTGGATTTTAAAAATACAATTTGCACCTTTTTGTAGTTCATATATTGATGTCTTTTAATCACGTATACAATGTGTATTGATGAATGATACCTTGATGTGGCAGTTTAAAGCGAACTGGTCCTTTTTAGAAAGTTCTGCAAAATTTAAAATAATGTTCCTTTAAAGGAAGCCACAGGAGAAAAAATAAGTTCCATTGCCAGAAACATCACCAAGTCGGCAACTTACACCAGAAAAACAATTGACAAGCACAATCTAAAGCAATCTGATACAACTGCCCTACCATAAACCCTGCTCTTACAATGCCATCATATTCATTGACTGCAGTGTGTTAGAGAGGTGCTGATCTGTCTTTGGCAACAAAATATAAAGTATGCCAAAATAAATAAATAATTATTCATCAAACCAACTGTCTTCATTAGTTTGACAGTTTATTAAGTATACACTGAATAACCAGCAAATGAATTAGACGAGTAAGATTTGAATTCAGTTAAAAAAACAATTCAATATGAAATTTAATTTGATTTGATTTTTAATCAAATGTTTGATATGATTTAATATTTTTTATATAGTTACAATTTTGAATTAGTTAGATTTAATAACATTTTTAATTAAAATCTTAATATAATTTATTAATAAAATGCATGTATCATTTAATTTGACTTTTAATGTATCATTTAATGTTTCTAAATTAATTCAGTTATGTTTATTTTAATTTTCTTTAATATACTTTCTCCAATCTTATCCAGTCTAGTTCCTTTTCACGCTCCCATGTATTGATTAATATTTTATTTTACATTGACTGACACAGACCAATCCCCAGTCGGCTAATCACTGCGGTCAGTTCAACATGATGTCATCCATAGCAACAGGGTCGACCCTGTCCCTTCGGGGCCAGCTTATTTCTCTCTGCCCCTCAGTCAAAGTGTCTCTCAGCGGCTTGGTGTTTGGCCAAAGAAGAATTTCTCAGCTGTAGTGTCATTCAGGAGGACCCCTAACCATAAGACTCTCTGTGACTACGGCCCCACGTTTTTTTTTTTTTTCTGTCAGTCCTCCAGAAAACAGAAAATCACACCAAAAATCAGTTCTGACACTCAAATATTTAATCAGTGTGGATTAGTTTCCTTAACATTTTACATGTGTTTACTGTCTGTGTCTCACAGCAGGAGGGCCTGCTGAAGGGGATCAGGGAGGAGAGCTGGAACCAGCACGGGGACCTAGAAAATCACTCTGGGATCTTCTCGGAAAAACTCATCCAGCCTATTCAGGCAGAGTGAGGCAATAGTCGCTCCTCAGTCTGTAATACTTTCTTCTTCCATCGAGCACTTGGTGACTCACACACACAGACACACACACACACACACACACAGAGGGAGTGAACCCATATGTTTTGGGTGCAGAAGCTGTACAAATAGATGACGTGACAAATCGACAAACACGTGGTTACTCACATGCTATGATGTTGCAACTTGTGGAACAAAAGTGCCTGAGCTTTAGAACATTTTGTTAGAGATGTTTGGATTGTTACAGTATTTTACTATTTTTGTATCTTCAAAGTCTTTATGTTGAACAATGTGAAAGCAAAAATATTTTATACTGATGCTATGATCTTGTGTAATATTTCCTAATAAAGTTGTAAATAAAAGAGAGGAGGATGTCGTTCTGGTATGAAAGGAAGGTTCCATATTGTGCCATTTATTCACTTGATCTCGAAAGTCCCAGTCTAAGAGCGGATAACTACCGTGAATTAGCATTTTGTAAATAAAGGGAATTGTTGCTGCAAGGCTGCAGATAAATAGCCTGACCTTGAGAGTGGGCTGCAATGATTCACCAGAATGGAATGTGAAAATATTGTCAAGACCTGGAAACTGAGACATGTTGACTGATTGACTGTGAGGAGTTTATGGAAGAAAGGTCTGTCTTGTATAAGAACCTACTGAGCCGAGGCTCACTTCCCCTAGTTTGGCAGTTCTGCTCTGAGGAAATGAGACAGTAAAGTGTTTTGGAGTGTCTGCGCATCAGCAGACTGTTATACATACAGGCATAACCAGCTGGTTAATGAGCTAACGCCAAATGGGGGAGTTAAAGGACAGGATACAGGTGTTTAATGGGTGTCAGACGGTTTGCTGTGATTTGCTGGCTGGGTTTGTTGTGGTTACAGTCGGGTCAAACAGCTGGAACTGTCAACATTCCCCCTCTCCAGCATCATTTAGATGCAGTTTCCCACATATCCAAAGGACTGATACAAGGCAATATCACACATTTCGTATGAAAAAAGAAGAGGGCTGCTTTTGAGCTCATTTCAAAAAGCATGAACAGTGTTAGAACACGGATAGTTATTGTGGAAAGCTGAGGTGACAGAGCTATGCTTATACCTCAACGAGAAATTGCATGAACTCTGCATACATAATTATCATTTTAAGGCAGCTCTGCCAAGCTTTATGCACCAATTGCCAAATGCAGACTGAGAGCAGCACTTGGTAGAGCTACAGTATTCATTGTGTGGCTGATTGGGAGTTGTTCATGTCTGTGGCAGTGGTTCCTAACGCGGGGGGTTTGGACCCCCACCAGAGGTCGCCAAAGCTTCATAGGGGGTCGTGAGGTTGTCTTAATTTTAAGGGGGGTAAGAAAACTACACCGTAAGGCTATATCTCAGCATTTAGTTCAATTCTGAGAAGAAAACTAAATGAAAGTTATTTTTAAAATGTAGATAATGATTATAGGATCTAAACTTTGAAGACTTGAATAGAAGCTATGTTCAGAGTATTCACTCGCTAACAGCCTCATCCTGCATTAGAACAGTATGCTGTTAACAACCAAAGAACTAATAATGGCCAAGCAGAAGCCTATTAAGTATGTATGGTTCAGGACACAGTTCAGGTAATGATAAAATAAGAGTCCCTTTAGGAAATGGTTGGGAAGCAGTGGTCTGTGGGTATTGTAGTGCCATGAAAATGCAGGGTTCCCACACATCAGTTTTCTAGTCATGGAAACACCTGGAAATGTAACAAAATGATAAAATATCCTAGAAATAATCTATGTTGTCCTTGAAGAGTTTGATTGTATTTACCCTGCGTATACCTAGATGTGTATTCTGTTTTAAACTAGACTAACACCTTAGTCTAGTTACTCTCACTTCAGAGCGTGTTTATCAGATGCAGTCGGGAACAGAAAAACACCCCCTTTTCACTTCTGCTCCCAAGAGCTGTTCACACCACTTGCAGTAAACTTTTGGCATCAAGTCTATTTTGGAAATGCTGTAGATGGTCATATGTACTTACAGCGTACTGATTTGTTGTTGTGGTTGATAAGTACAAGCACAGTGATGTTAACTGTACATGCAACACTTTCACTTTCTACCTTTTCTTTTAATAGGCTAGTAGGTAAGAAAGATGATTTACTGTAAACTAAATTACTACAAACTCATTTTTCTCCTTGATTTGAATTGTTATTTCTGGGCTGTGGCCAAATTAATGTTACGGTTAGAGGAAAACTATAGTCATTTGGCTGGAGACCACAGCTCTGCTCAGTTGTCTGGTGAGAACAGCCAAGAGGACCATGAAAGCAAGCTAACATCCACTGGGTCTGAACGAGTGCTGCCCTGTAATGTCAAGAAAAGTTCCTGGAAAAAATTTCCACTTTCTTTTTTCTCAGAGTACTATAACCCCTACACCACTAGTGAACCCCTGACCTTTGCATATTGATTTACTACCTACAAATTATGACTTATCGCATTTGTTAATTCAGTCCATATAATCTCCGTAATTACAAACATGCTGTGCAGCCGAAAACTGTTAACCCACAAAACTTATATTTAGATTGAATGACTCCAACTCTGTGACTGTTTTTGATTGTTGACTTAGTATTTCATCATTCTGACTCATGAGTGTTTTTTTTATTTTCCCCTAACTTTTCCTTATTTTTTTTCTTCTGGCATAAATGGGCTTCCATATGTTTAAGATGTTAAGGGCTTTGCATCCATGTCGACTTATATGTTGAGCTTCAAAGTTCCTCTACCTACAAAAACCTCAATATACAATTCCATGATAATGGTGAACTCCATCTGCTGAAGATCATGTGATATGATTGAAAGCTTTAGAAAAAAACACTAAATAGACTAATAGAGGTGGGATTGTTACTCTCAACTGCTATTTTGAAGGTCAAGAATGAACTTTGAACGTCAATTTCTCAACACAGATCAAAGCATTTTTATTCCCTGACAGAACTGCATTGATCTTTTAAGGAAGCAAGGTAAAGGTAAGTTCGTACCAGTGATCTTGTTTCTCATGACTTAACCCTTAAATGGGCAATACATATACATGAAACAAATGAATTAATTGCTATTTTCTAATCTAGCTAGGCTTTTTCCTCCAAATATGATCTTTACTTTCTAATTTACTCCAAAGAAGATACATTGACCATTTAGGGTATACATTTAAATTATTTATTTAAAAACATTTTCTAAATAATTAATTCGCTACTTTCTTTCATATTTTGTATAAAAAAGTTTAAAATAGTGAGAAAAAATAAATAGTGTGTCTGTGTGTGTGTGTGTGTGTGTGTGAGAGAGAGAGAAACAAAATCTAACAATGTCCACCCAACATATAATAAACCTGAAACAACCTGGTTTTGTTCAGATATGCTGCCATTCTGGATTTTTACACAGATGAGTATATTTTTGAATGCATGAAGTCACATGACCTGACTACCGCCCTTTATTGTTTTTCATGAAATAAAGTGCACCCACTTAATGACCTTCCGCCCACAGCCTGTAAAATGACTGCATCCCCCAGGATACTGAAACCATTTAAGAGGGCGATCAGTTAGACTTTTGCAATGTGGGAACAGTCCTCAAAGGCCCATAAAGGTGCATTTGAAGGTTATTAGTGACCTTAATGCAATAGCTGGAGTTACTGTCTTGGAGGCAGAAATAAAGGTTGAAGAGAAAGCGTGCCTGGGCTCTCTTGTGTTCCAGATGAGATATACTGCTGCATGACTCTATCAAAGTCTCTATTATTGGCGTAATTCTCATTCTGCACCATTCCTGCTAAATGAAGTCACCACAGTGACACAGGGACTTTGTGTAATACTGGCCTGACTTGGATTAGACTCCTCTTCACCCCTGATTCCTGGAAGAAGAGCTTGAGACCAGTTAAAGTATGTTTTTTTGTGATTCTCATCCGGATGTTACAGCTTACATGGCCTCTGATTTATAGCTGCCAATGAAGCGGGAAAACATTTTTCTTCTTTGGAACATTTTCCAATGCTCAGACATTGACTGATTAATACCTCTTTTAATCTACAGGAAGGCTTTTCAGGTGGATGTAGGCATGGGTGCCGTTTGATAACAGCGCTCTACGCTTTTAAATTTCCTTCTTAACAAAAACATAATAATGAAGTACTTATGTAGCATTTCCTCCTTGAGCGTTACTCCATCCTCAACTTCCTCCACAAAAACATTCTGCTCTTGCTTTCACTCTTTGTGTCGCAGTGAAAATGTGCCAGTGACTGAGGGATTGACAGACCTTACTGCAGATTACTGGAGACATTTCTGAGTGGAAAAGATCAGGACAACCACACGGAAGTCTCCCCTTCTGATAGAAATCCAACAGTAACAAAGATACTGTTATTTATAGAGATGCTCCATCACTGAGAGGTTAATATTGAAAGGTGATATTCACAGTGGAAGACTCTGGGCTCTTCTCCAATATGAATATAATGAATTGTTACTTGTCTTTTTCCTCAATGAGGGGCCTTTATCTGGGCGAGAACATCTCAGAGGCCTGGTTCTTCTCCACAGGCCTCGTGCTGCTCGGCTTGTTTGCGGTGTGAGTTTTCCTCGCGGCTCCTCTGGGGAATAGGCGTGTAGGTTACACAGAGCTAACTGCTGTATTAGCTCGGGTCCATTAACAAGTAGTGTTGTGTTGACAAGGCGGATGATAGATAAACTTGTACAAGGTCTCTGGGAGGGCTATAGAGTTTCAACCACTGCTCGGTCACATTCATGCAAATGCATTTATAGTTTTACTGTTCATACTGCTGTGTATTTATGAATGTTTTCAACAAAATGAAAAGTTGAAACTGACAGATTATAGATCACACACTTGCACTGTGATAGCAAAAAGATTGCAGAGACACAGGTATGAATCATATGTTACTCCCTATGGAAAAGTAGAGAGGAAGTCTTTAATCTTAATTTCTTCCTGTAATGATATTCTTTTTCCTCTTCCCCGGTTCTCAGCAAGATTAGAGGTCAGGAAAAGGTTAGAGGTCAGGGAAAGGTCAGAGGTCGTGCTTAGCAACACAAAAACATCCCTGGTTGTGACTCAGTGACACTTCTGCAGGGTAGATGCTTGTTGACAGATGAAGTCAATGAGAGACATGCTATTGGCTCACACACAGCTGTATTTACTGAAAATGTCTTAATAGAAACAGTAGTTGAGCATCTTGAAACAGCAGTCGTTGATTTTTTGTTGGTCACTCGGTGGCAGTATGTCACAACACTGACACAGTGTATCCTCACCATAAAGTTGTTATAGTGAATTGTTAGCTAACGGTTGCCTATCTACAACCACCTGATGAATGTCGGTCTGATATACACTCTCCTTTTAATCTGTTTTGGTCTCTACCAACTCCTGGAGTCTCTTCAACTCACTACTAAATGCTCCAGCTA